ACGGTCAGGTTACTGGCAGATCAAGATGGCGGACAACTCGATCCACAAGACGGCGTTCCGTACTAGATACGGCTCCTACGAATACTTGGTGATGCCGTTCGGACTCTGCAACGCACTAGCGATGTTGCAGGCGGAAATGAACCATATCATGCGGCCCCTGCTGGACGAGTGCGTAGTAGTGTACCTGGACGATATCCTCATCTACTCCAAGAACATGAAGGAGCACGTGGAGCATCTGCGGAAAGTCTTCGAGATCCTGCGGAAAAATAAATTCTACGTGAAACTGTCGAAGAGCGACTTCGCACTGAAGAAAGTGCAGTTTCTCGGGCACATGGTGAGTGTCGAGGGCGTACACGTGGACCCGCGGAAGATCGAAGCCGTTAAAAAGTGGAAATTTCCTCAGAACGTGAAGGAGTTGCAGCAGTTCCTAGGCTTTGCCAACTACTATAACAGGTTCGTGCCGCAGTACGCTAAGATAGCAGCGCCACTGACCGACCTACTGAAAAAGGATACGCCCTTCAAATGGGATATTCCTCATCAGCAAGCCATGGAACAGTTACAGACAACACTGACCACAGCACCAGTACTCATCCTACCAGACCCCGAGAAGGACTACGTAGTTGAAGCAGACGCTAGTGACCAGGCAGTCGGAGCAGTACTGATGCAGGATCACGGGAACGGGTTACAGCCTATCGCCTACCTCAGTAAGAAGCTACACGGAGCAGAACTGAACTACCCCATTCACGACAAGGAAGCCTTAGCGATAGTCGTAGCCTTCAACGCATGGAGGTGTTACCTAGAGGGAGCCAAGACCACAGTCTATACTGACCACTGCAGCCTCAAATACCTGAAGTCGCAGCCGACGCTCTCACGACGACAGGTGCGGTGGGTGGATTTCTTGGAGACCCACTTCCACTACGACATCATCTACAAGCCCGGGCTACACAACAAGGCAGACGCGTTGAGCCGCCCCGGACATGTAGCAGGCATCCAGCTCGACGGGATGAACCCTTTGCTCAAGGGTCTATTCCAACATGGGTACTCCGTGGACGAAGAGATCACTACAGCACAGACTAAGAAGCTGTTACAGTGGGAGAAAGACTTAGCGGTAAGGAAGGGTTCAGGAAAGATTTGGGTACCGAATTACGCCCCGCTAAGGCAGATCCTATTGGAGGATTTTCACGATGTACCATATGCGGGACATTTCGGGAGCAACAAGACGTTAGTAGGGATAGCGAAGTATTACTACTGGCCCGGGATGGCAGCAGACGTTCAGCAGTTCGTCACCTCTTGCGACACGTGCCAGTGGATGAAGAGCAGCAAGCAGAAAAAAGCAGGATTACTTCAGCCTCTACCCGTACCGGAGCAGCCATGGCAGGTCGTTAGCCTCGACTTCATCACAGGACTTCCTTCGACCTCACGGGGGCACGATTCCATCCTCGTAGTAATCGATAAGTTCTCCAAAATGGGTCACTTCATACCGACCAACGCCACAGCTACAGCTGAAGCAACTGCTCGCCTCTTCTTCGACCGCATCATCACCATCCACGGCATCCCCGCTACACTCATCTCAGACAGAGACCCCAAATTCACGAGTAAGTTCTGGAAGAAGCTCATGGGACTGTTGGGGACAAAGCTTGCAATGTCTTCAGCATACCACCCCCAGACTGATGGACAGACAGAGCGACTCAATCAGGTGGTTGAGCAGTTACTGCGCACAGCTTGCAAAGACGACGTCAGCCACTGGGACACACAGTTACCGACCCTAGAGTTCGCTTACAACAACGCATCACATGCGGCCACAGGGAAAACTCCTTTCCTCCTGTGTTACGGACGGGAACCACTCACACCACAGCAGCCAAACACACCGGCACACGTCCAAGCCGCACATGACTTCGTCACCACCATGCAGCAGCTATGGGAGAAGACTCAGCGACGTCTCACCACGATGCAGAACTCCCAGAAGCAGTATGCCGATCGTCAGCGACGAGATCACTCAGTAGCAGTCGGAGATCAGGTGCTTCTTGACATGCGCAACTTGAACCTGTCTCACCTACCATCCAAACTCCGGCCTCGCTTCTGTGGTCCTTTTCTCGTGGAGGCCCAGGTGACACCAGTTACATTCCGCTTGCGCTTACCAGATACATGGAAGCTTCACAACGCTTTCCATGTCCAGCTACTGAAACCCTACAAGGACCCCAACCAACAGTTCCAGGGACGACAACTACCGCCACCACCACCTGTTCTCATACAGGATGAACCCGAGTACAAAGTGGAACGTGTTCTCACTCATCGGCGCCGCGGCGGCAAGACCCTCGAGTTCCTGATACGCTGGAAGGGATACGACCCCACTGAGGACAGTTGGGTTGCAGAAGCTGATATGGGCAACGCACGCCGTGCTCTCAAGGACTATCTTGTCAAGCAGGGTGTATCTCACGCCACCCAGCTTTGAGGGGGGGACGTGTGAGAGTACGACGGCTTATGCCAGCTATGCTTGCTTGCCTTTACTTTATCATGCTATTTCTAGCATAGGATAATTATATGCATGCATGAATTGCTTGATTTCCTAGGCTAGGTGCTTTGCTATATTTTATTATAGTTATAACACCGAGCTAGGTTGCGTGCACCGAATTCTGGCTTTTCGGTTACCACCGAATTGCCTTCTACCGAATTCGGGAAGGATCTGTTCGGGACGCTTCGCGACCCGCGGAACCTTCGCGTAACACCTGGTTACGGGGCCTTGTGTCGAGCCTATATATAGCCTCGTGTTGTACCCAGGTGATCATTCAGTTCACATTCTCTTTTCTGAGCTCGATCCTAGATCCTCACATCTCATCCCTAGATTTGATTGGATACTCCACCACCTGACAGGATGCATGAGATGTAATGGGCAGTGTGTGGAGGACATGGTTAGAAGGATAACGTAGAGATGACATGGCATACTGACATGGCATACTGACATGGCAGCACGCATGCATGCGCCGTCACAGCACCACCATTCCCTCCCCTCTTATGCCCTTCATCACAATCGCTGTGATGGTGACGACACACGCATAATTTGATTCCATAAAGACTCCCCCGCACAAACCATGCATGTGTGTTGATACAGAAGCGGGGAGGCAGCGAGCTGGCCCATGAGTTGACTGTACGTCTTTTAGAAACGCATGCGTCCAAAATCCCACCCCACCCACAACCCCCCCTGCCTCCCCCCTCACACACACCATGCATGCACGCACCAGACGTGCACCCATGCACGCACGCACACACCATGCATGTGTGTTGGTGTAGCAGCAGTAGTACTGAAATCACTTTTGAGAATTCTCAAAAGTGTAGCAGCAGTGGAGAGGCAGCGAGCTAGGCCATGAGCTGACTGTACGTGCATGCATCCATGGTATCCCCCCCCAATCCCAACCCCATCCACACACACACCCACCCACACACTATGCATGCACGCATGCACCATGCATGTTTCTGCGTGCAACAGTAGGGAGGCAGCGAGCTGGGCCATGATGTGGCTGTACATGCATGCATCCATGAATACTCCCCCCTCTCCTCCACACTCCCCCCTCCCCCCACCCCACACCCACCCACCCACCCACCCACACGCCAAGCACGCACCATGCATGTCTCTGGGTGCAGCAGCGGCGAGGCAGCGAGCTGGGCCATGAGGTGGCTGTGCATGCACGGTTCCATGATTCCTCCCCCTCACACCCCCACCCCACCCACACACACGCACCCACACACCATGCATGCACCATGTATGCACGCACACATGCACACACGCACCATGCATGTTTCTGGGTGCAGCAGTGGGGAAGCAGCGAGCTGGGTCATGAGTTGACTGTACACGACGAGCTCATAGGGAGGAGTCACGTTGATGAAGCTGAAGGGCCCTCCCACCCACTCAGCTGCGAAGGCGTAAAGAAGAGTGTAGGGCAGGAGGGCAGTGGGCGGGTGGACATGCAGGGTTACAGCAGGAGCGCTGCTTAGATGAAGCTCATAAGGGGGGGAAGAGTCACGCTGATGAAGGTGAAGGGACCCGCACCCACTCGGCCGGGGGAGGGAGAGCAAGAGGAGTAGGGAGGGAGTGGTGAAGGAGAGGACGGGAAGGGAGTGCGTTGGGCCATGAGTTGACGGTACATTACGAGCTCATAGAAGGGTGGGGGGGGGGGGGGGGTCACGCTGATGAAGCTGAAGGGGCCCCCACCCACTCAGCTGCAAACGCGAACAGAAGAGTGGAGAGCAGCAAGGCAGTTGAGATGTAAGGAACAGAAGAAGGGGGTTAAGCAGGAAAGGGAGAGAAAGGGGAGGCGGGGGGATTGAATAAAAATAGGACAAGAGGGATATTGGGTGGAGGAGAGGGGCAAGACAGTATGAGACGTGTTGGATGGGAGGAGAGGAGGGTGCGAGGTGGGGGGAAGAGCGAGTGCAGGACGAGGATTGAGAGGAGCAGGGCGGGAGAAAGTAAGGGAGTAAGGGAAGTAGATAGAAAAGGAAGAATGCTGAGGAGGGTTCAAACAAAGAGGAAAAAATGCCCTGTACCTCCCCGTGCCTTCTCGTACCTCCCCGTACCTCCCCGTACCTCCTCTTTGCTCCGCTTGCTGGAGAAAGGACTCAACTTTGAGCGGGTGGATGGTGGTGTGGGCGGAGGCGGAGCAGGATTCAATGTTAGGGGAGAGCATGAATGGTACGACCCATGGATCCATCTCCACGAAGTGCGCCTGAGAAGGAGTGGCGGGGGTAGAGGGGGGAGAGCACGAAAAAGCATATGGCCCACAGTCCACCTCCATGAAGTGAGCGGGCACAGGGGAGACCCAACCCATGGTTCCATTTCCAGGAAGTGCGCGTGCAGCAGAGGGCAGGGGTGCCAGAGGCAGGGAGAGAGGGAGGGAAGGGTTGCCAGAGGCAGGAGGGCAGGAAGGTAGGAAGGTAGGGACAGAAGACGAAAGAGAAAGCGAGAGGGTGGTGTGGGAGTGGGAGGAGGCTGAGCAGGCTTCGAC